ATGTCTGATCTGCTGCATACAAGCTGTGTGCCTGCAAACAGTCCACATGGCCCAGAAAGGTTAACAGATCCAACCATGTAAGTGGGTTGTAGTGATACACAGTGCCTGGTTCTTTCTTACGAAACTGGTGCAATGATGGGAGGGCAGAGGGAGTGGTTTCTGCAGGAGAGACCTGCAGAAGACCTGTTCTGGCCTTGCTCTTGTGGTTGGCTCATTCAGGCATCTCCTGGTCTTCTTGCTAGCATCTCCAAGCAGGGCTGGGAAAGGTGAGCCACACCACACGGGTGTAGCTGATAAGGCACCACTAGTCTAGGGTTGTTAATCATGTAGAGAACCCATGTTTTGTCTCTGGGTGGGGAACTGTGGGTTGTCCACCATGGTTTGTCAGCTCAGCTCTGATGATCCATGGTTTGACACCTACTCACAGATTAAGAACCACTGACTTTCAGCTGGCCTGCAAAGCTGAACCTTGAGCTTGCATGTTGAGTCACCTTTGCTAAGCTGGAAAGGTGCGGGTTTGCAGCTGGATGGGTGACCACATGTTGAAGTGGAGGATTGCTCCTCTTCTCTCCTCTCCACTCCTCTCCTCTCCTCATGGAGTGTGGGTTAGTCTGTTGTCTGAATCCAGTCCCTTGGGTTTGAAAGAGGGTTCTTTCCTGAACTCACCTGGAGACTCCAGGGAACATGAATAGGATGTCCTTCCTGCAGCACATGTATTCTACCCCTGGGCTATGAGCCTTCTCCTAAAAGCAGAGTACGGACCCAGTCCTCATGGTCTACATAAGGGGCTTGGTCTGACTTGGTATGAAGCGGCTCCGTATACTCTCCCAGCTTTGAGAGTGGATTTCACAGACAAATGGCTTTACGTGCCTGGGAGAACACATAAAGGTCACCCCACGGACTCCTGCTTTGGACGATTTGGACTGATTCAAGACATGGAAGGATGGAGGGGGCAGAGTTTGCTGCTGTTATGTTCCTTTTGGGTTTTCTATCAGATGGCCAGGAACCCGGGTCATGGTACCTAATGTTGCCATTGCAACTGAAAATGGACTGAGAAAACGAGGGACTTTGAAGGCGAGATTAAAGGAGCCAATGGTCCATTTGTGCCAGAAAATGAGCATCCGGACCATTGCCTGTTTATTTCCATTACTTTCAGCAGCTACACAAAATATCCTCATTAACAACAAGGTCAGGTGATGGGTTCTACTTTCTGAACATCAGAAATGCCTCATTACTATACCATTTCCTAACACGGAATGGAAATAAGTGAGCTAAATTGTCTTAAAGGGTTTCTTTTCCTTCCCTAGCTCGTTTCTTCATTATCACACTTGTAAAAGGATATTTAACAGAGTATTTCTGTGGAGTGTAAATTGCTCCTTTCTCAAATACTCTATTGCATCCTTTAAATATTAGTGACCAGTTGGTTGGCAATGTTTAATAAAAGCACAGCACAGATGTTCCCGGCTCTTCAAAAACACCTGGCGTGGGTGGGCGGGGGACCCAGCAATGAAGAGTTTCGGGGAGGGAACCTGCCGTATCCTCTTATGGAGACAGTGGAAGGGGAGGGGGCCAGAAATGGCCTTTCATTGCAAGCAGAGGGGTGTGTAACACCATCACTCCCGAGAACACACCCTGCTGGGGTGCTGGCAAAGCTCCTCTGTTCAGTACCTCGTTAGCACTGTTTGATGTCCAAAGGCAGCAGCTGCTGTTTTTGCTGCAAATCAGCTTTGCTGCGTGGTGAACAAGCTCCCCCTCCAGTCATGAGCGTCCACAGAAAACGCAAACCAGCAGGGCCCGGCTTCGGGGCTCAAGGCAGAGTCCTGGCACAGGCTCAGAGGGGAACGGGGTGCTAGGCAGCTCCGCAGATGAGGGTTAATGCAGAGGGCTGGAATCAATCGGTCCAAGGACCGATTAATCAGTCCAAGGACATCCTGTCGGGAAGGACAAGGACGGGCAGAAGCGGAGAGAGGGCAGAGAGGCTGGCCAAGTGAGTGATTGCACCGACCGGAGGAGGAGGCGTGCACACAGACACTCCAGCCCATATTATCTTTTTTGCGTGTTGAAGCCTTAAAGACTCGCACACGAGACGGTGGTACAAATCCAGGCACTTCCATTGATTCACACAGTGCATTAGTTCACCAACAACTTGTCCTCTCGCTGATATACAGATTAAGACAAATAACTGCTCTTCCCCTCCAAGCCTAAAAATAATGGAAGGTGAAACACAGCATGTTCTCATACTTCCCCTTGATCATCCTTTCTGTAACCTCTTTGGAACGTTTCCGTTCAAACCAGACTCTTGGTCATGCTTTTGAAGTTTGGTCTTTAAAGAGGGAGGAGGCCACACGGAGGCAGACACTTTGCCTGCAGTTCCCATGATTCCTGACCCTTGGCCAAGCTGACTGGGGCTGATGGGAGTTGTAGTCCAGCCTGCTCCTTGGGCAGCGACTTGGTGCCAGCTTCTAGCTACCAGAGAGCTGTTTTTGCAGGATTGGTAGGTACAGGTAGCTATGAGAACACACCTGCGTCTGTGCACAGCAACCTTTTGCCAAGCGCTGATGCACAGATTAAGCAGGCGGGCCTGGTGCATGCGTGGAAGAGCGAGGAGGCATTAAATTGATCAGATGGCAAAGCCAAGCACCTGGCGTGTGGGGAGGGGAGGGAGGGGACACTGCATGGACGAGCAAGCTGTTTTTATTTCCTGCTTCAGCCAAATCACACCCAGCGTCTTGTAGGTGCTGACACGCTAGGAAAAAAATCAAAAGGTGCCAGAGTGATCTATCTTAATGAGTACGCGAAGAGTTTGCTATTCGAGAGAACGGTTTTGGCAGTGAAGATACAATCGGCTGGGAATGGAAAGGAGATGAGAGAAAACATGTTCAGAGGCATGATATGTCTGCAGCTCCAGTACAGAGAACAGCAACGAGGGCAGTCGATTTTATGTCCGGCATGTGCTGAACGCCAAAGGTTGGTTGCCCAGAGAAGTGACTACCGAAAGACCGAAAGATGCACTCGCAAATATCTGGAGCAAAGGAGACCCTGTTGGACAGAGAAAGCATTCCCTGCTGCAGCGTGTTCTTCCCTGCCCTTCCTCAAGAAAGCAGTTGTAAAGAAAGGATACGAAAGGGGTGAGAAAAGGAAGGCAGCGGTTGTGCGGTCTTTTGTGACCATTAGTCCGATAATCCCACGTCTCCTGGACTACTAGAGGCAAGCACCTGATGTCCAATCTTGGAAGGCTGTTAGGTTCTGCAGAGCCAACTTGCCTTCAGCAGAAGCTTACAAACAAACACGGAAATGGAAGGGAATATCGTCTGGTTCCATCCCCACCACCTTGACATACAGCAGGAACTATCCCTCAGAAGCATTTTATTTTGGAGAGGGGAGATGCGGAGCAAATTGGTGTGCAGATATGTGGTCCTTGATCATCTCTCCTCTAACGCACAGACACGCAGCCTGCAGTTCATGTGCTTGATCTCCCTTACAATTCATGCAGCCATCCATTGCTTTGATTTTCCTTTTCCTGGTCTACTTTGCTGAATGGAGAAAACCCCCAATTCTTCTTCTGACACTCCATACAAAAAATAGAGGAAAACACGACTGCCATTTAGTTCTGATTTCTCCCATAATGCATTTTCACATCTAAAATGGGTATCTGACTAGGATGGAATCGTTCTCTTTCATGAAGTACCCGAACATCATATTGGTTTGCAGGATGTTGCATGGTGTAGTGGCCCACAAAGCAGAGGTCAGTGGCGCAGGGCCCGAGGAGGAAAAGATGCTTAAATCAATGTTGCTTGATTTAAACATCCTTCAGTGGTTTTACTGAACTAAACCTCCTCAAACCAGATCTGCTGCAGGGAGATTTCAAGCAGTGTGCAGGAAACTTTCTTGAATGAAAAATAATAGTTGGGGGGAAAAATAGTTCGCTCATTGCCAGGCTGGAGTTGATGGAGAGGGAAATGGCTTTTTTGGTTTGAGTTTTTCCAGGGCAGGAAAGGTGATCCCAACAAACCCGAGCCTAAATGGACCACAGAACCCAGTACCCAAATGGGAATGAGAAATGCGTGTTCCCTTGTTGGATTTGTAAGCCAGTGCCCAGCGGAAAGGAAGGATGGTATTGGCTGAACTTTAAGTGAGAAATCCAGTGCCACTGCCTGCTTGACTCCCGAAGGCTCAAACCATGCTTGGTGTCAATGAAATGGTTTTTCTAAAGGTTTTCCGCTTCACATGCAGCCAGCAAGGGGCTTTGATCAGGATCGGGACTCCAGCATAAGGGGTAATGCGGCTTTTACTATCTTTTACAATTTTGCAATCCTGATCTGGGTCAGATCCATCCCTCTCCGCCTGCCTGCACACACGAGAAGTGAGCTGCAGTCGGGGGAATACTCTGGATCGACAGAAAGACAAACAAGTGATTTGTAGATCGGATTGAGCCAGAACTGTCCCATGAAGCAAAAATGGAAAACAAGCAAGCAAGCAAGCAAACCAGCCAACCTGAGACTCTCCTACTCTGGGCATCCCATCAGAAGGCGCAACTCCCTGGAGAAGACATTCATGCTAGGGAAAGTCCAAGGCAGAAGAAATGGAAGAGCAGGTACAAGATGGATCAACTCCACAGAGCAATCCCAGCCTTGAAGCTGGAAGAGCTGAGTGAGGCTTTCATGGAAGGACAATTTGGTGGACTTTCGTTCATAGGGTTGTCCTGTGTTTGAGATGATGGCACAAAACGATAACAGGGGGGAGGACTAAACCTCTCTATGCCAGGGGCCAGGTACAAATTGGGCTCAGTGAACTTGTGGGTTATTTGTGCAAGAAAACACCCTGAATGCACAGGTAATCCACATGGTAGATGTTACATGCGTGTCAGCCTTAAATGGGGTCAACCAACCAACTGGCTGCCTCGTACGTGAGCACTGCACCCAACAACTGAATTCAACATCTCTTTCCCTAGACCCTCACAAGAGGAACTACTTCTGCCATGAGCATCTTGGTGTACATACCACACAGCCTGTTGAATCCTCCTTACGGTCTGATACACACTTGAAGTTGCGGGTGCAGCCGCCGTTGTTGCGTGAGCAGTCTCGGACTGGCCCGAAGGAAGAGAGCAGGTCATTGATGGTTTCGAAGTAGGTTGACAACATCGCTTCTTCCCTTGGAGGAGGAAAGGGACTGTTAAAAGCACCTGAGCAAGCACCCCAGCCAGGGTGAAGAACAACCCACCCCCTAGTCCCTCCTCTAAACCCACCTTGGCTTGGGTGCACCGCCCTAGACTTTATTGCAACCAAGCCAAACTAGGTGAGATCGAAGCAACCTTTATTTATTTATTTATTTATTTATTTATTTATTTATTTATTAATTAATTAAAACATTTCTATGCCGCCCCTTGCTGAAGCCCAGCTTAGCACCTCTCATTTCCCCCCGTTTGCTTGTGGCTTCCCCACATCTATTATTGTTATTCATCTTAGTTGCATTTTTATACCTAACTCCAGTTCTCAGACTCAAGGCTGCTTAGAATATTAAAAACATATACCATGCAACTTCGTACAAAGACTTATGCAATGCCTATTTTAGATTGTATCCCCTAAGGACCAGTCATCATGCTTGTTCGTTCTCTTATTTGTTCTCTCTCTCTGCCTCCCTCCCTCCCTCCCTCCCTACACACCCACGCATATAATTAGCTCTGATGACATTTTTACCATTCCTGCCATCTTTATTTCCCCTTTGTAGGTTGAAGCAGAGTTCCACAGCCACGTTACCAGAATAGCAGTGCTAGGATGCACTTGGCCATCAAAAGAACCCTCATCTTCTGAAATGCGGAAGGAAACTCGCCCCCGAGATTTGATTAACACGAGGATTAAAAGCAATAGCCAACTTCACCGTACTTTATCATGTCAGCATTAATTATAAGATCTGCAGCCCTGTATCAGCCATGCCTGCATTAAGAACCTTTTCTCGCTGTCTGCTATCCTCTATCATGTCACCGATCTCTGCGCATTCAGCCAGGACTGGGTACAAGATGCACACGAAGCAGGGGATGTGAATATACCGAACACTCTTTCTTTGAGCCTCACTCCCTCCACAGGCCAATCCGTGCTCAAACTGGGGTGTATGAAGTATCACGGCCAACCATCACTTGGGGTTTCACGAGCTGCCTCCTCTTACCCTGTCCTTTCTCTCTTCCCAAGCAGGTACTTGCAGTTTGGGTTTTGAGGGCATGCACCGTCTCTCCTTGGCTAGGTTGGGTGTAATATCTAACAGCAGTTTGCATGGAAAAGAAGCTAACTGGAGCATATTGGAAGAGAGATGTGTGGAAGCACAGGGTTCTAGACATTTAACACCAAGGCCTGGTTTGGGATTGCATTTGAAATAGATGGCGGTAGTGACAGATTTTATTTTCCTGGGCTCCAAGATCACCGCAGCCGGGGACTGCAGCCAAGAAATTAAAAGACACTTGCTCCTTGGGAGGAAAGCTATGGCAAATCTAGACAGCATACTAAAAAGCAGAGACATCACCCTGCCAACAAAAGTGCGTATAGTCAAGGCTATGGTTTTCCCAGTTGCAATGTATGGCTGTGAAAGCTGGACCATAAGGAAGGCTGAGCGCCATAGGATTGAGGTTGCACATTCGGTGTGGATCACTCTTTTACTGAACCTGAACATTTGCAGTAAGAGCACAGAGTAGAACTTTTCTGACATTCAAAGTATTTGAAATTTTGCCTCCTCATTGGACAACAGAGCATCAAGAGTGGATTACAGCAGAAGTAAAGATACCCAAATATACCGTGTCCCTTATGTTCCTATCCAGCTCCTGAAATCATCCACTGAAGCCCTTCTCAGAAAACCCTCCTCAAACGAAGTAACAGGTGGTGACCAGGAGAAGGGCCGTTTTAGCAGTGGCACCCCTTTATGGAACATTGATTGATTGATTGATTGATTTATATCCTGCCTTTTTTCCTACAAAGGGCTCAAAGCAGCTTACATCATTCTCCTCCTCCATCTTATCCCAACAACAACCCTGTGAGGTAGGTTGGGCTGAGAGTCTGGGACTGGCCCAAAGTCACCCAGTTGGCTCCATGGCTGAGCGGGGACTCGAACCCAGGTCCCCTGAGTCCCAGTCCCATGCTCTTAACCACTACACCACACTGCCTCTCAAGTTTCCTGAGAGGTACGATTGGTGCCATCCATGCTTTCTTTTCTGCACCACAGGAAAACCATTTCATTTTCCAGGTATTGTATTAGATGCTGATACTTTTAATGCTGTTTTTCTAAGCGTTGTTTCTGTGCCCAGTGCTGACCCTGATTACAGTTTCTGTGAGTTGTTGATGCCATTGTATTTATATTTGCTCACTGTGTTATCTAAACATGATTATGCTGTTATTTATGTGCTCTTGAAATGTGTAAACTGCCCAGAGAGACATTGAGCTGTGGGGCATTATAAAGTGCAAGAAAAGGATGCATGGATAAAAATAAAATCCACATCCACAGAGTTAAAAACATCTATTTAAGACATCAGCAAAACGCACATTGAAAGTCGGGGTAGATGGGATTAAACATGGTTTTGGGCTCAGTCTGGAAAGCAGCAAAAAGGGACCTGGGGCATCGCACGATACAGTCACTGAGTTTCCCAGTCTCCCTTGTCGTCTCTTGTTTAACAGTACAAAGAGTGTGGCTTCAAGGCAAACCTCAAAGCCCTGAAAAGTGTGTTTGGAAGTTCAGGCTTGAGGCAACTGGGCACAGGAACGCTGAGGGATGACACAACATTGCAGGGAGAATGGGAAAGAAGGAACAGCACCCTCTTCTGAAAAAGAAAAGGTGCCATTGTTGTAAAAAGGCTCGTGAACTTGAGTAAATTGCTGGCTGTGTTCCGTATTTTCCTCTTTGGGAGTGCAGGAGCCACATGCTCCAGTGAGGTCAAGCCAGCTGGCAACCCATCTCTTTGCTGTAGAGAAGAGGAGGGAAGAGTGAGAGAGAGCACTGGGTTTGGGCTATAGATCTGTTTAATACATCGGGCTAAATACTTTTTAAACATGAAGATCTGGCAAGAGCAGGTGCCTGCGAGAATGGGAGAGGCGACTGCCATACCCAGGAGGAGGTGAGAACAGAAAGTTCTCTTGGAGAAGGTGGCTTGCAGGTCCTCCAAGGACACGGAAAAGCAGACCTTCATGCCATCGATGCTCCAGTATCTCCGCAATGCTTCGCAGCCTGGGATCTCCCACGGGACGACTCGCTTTGATGGATTCTGCACACGTCAAGTTTGTGCAAGAGTTGATTCCTGGGGAGGGAACTGTGTCCTGGCAAGCTGGATCCCCCTCCATCCCCCTGCCGGTGCTTTCCACCCATTTCTCCATCCAGCAGAAGACTTGGAGCGGGGGCATGGAGGAGGCAAGGAGGAAGGCTATTACCCGAACAGGCAGCCAGACAGAGAAATAAAAAAGACAAAGAGTTCAATCGAGAAGACAAAACGGGCGAAAAATGAATGTGGAGCACAGAAGAGAGGGAAGGGGGAGACATCATGGGGAGGGCCCAGAAGTTCATGCTCCAAATGACAGAGAAAATCTTACTGTATAACCATAAAAGGTGTCAGGAGTGTCTGCCGATTATCAATGTTTGTATAATATACAGTGGCATAGAGTGTCTCCAGTTTTTATGATGCCTGAGATACGCCTGAAGATATATATGCCGTTCCTTTGCAGCGTGTTCTTGCATCTGAGCAGTAGACCTTCTCTGGTTCCAAACAACCCCCTGTCTTTGTCTTGTGGCTTCAATTTGTACTCCTCTGCTGCCTTTTGCAATGCGGTCCCATGCTGAGAGCCTATTGCCAAGACAGGTAGCAAATAGAGTGCAAAAAGGAGCGTTGAGCAACTTCTAAGGCAAAGAAGCCGGGTGCATTGCATTCTTTCCTTCAAAGGAAATGCCCTACCTTCTTCACAGGTGCAGGAGGAGGAGGAGGAGGAGGAGGAGGAAGGAGTGGGTGCACGTGAGCCCAAACTTGTGCATTGTCTGCTGTTCTATTTGAACCAGGCCAGCGACTACGGAGGCAGGATTTCAGAAAATCTGCGGGGCTGCCAACTGTGAAAATTGGTCCCCACAGACATCAGCTAGAGCAGAACTTTGAGAACTGCGGGTTTCTTTTTGAAAGGAGAATAAAAAAAGAACAGCTTTCCTGGATTAAGCCTGCAAAGAAAAACACACAAGAGCAAAAATAGGTTCTTGAGGAATCAGTCCAAACACCTGTTGCAAGATCCTTTGGTTGGGAGGGTTTGTGGTCACCAGGATTACCCGGCAGAGGCTGTGTGCTGGTCTCCTTTGCACTCACTTTGATTTCTTCTTTAATGATGCTGGGAGAGAGTGTCAACTTTCACCGAGCGGGTGGGGGAGAGCTGACTTCAGAGAGAGCAAGAGAAGGGGGAGAGACCCTTCTGGGAGCAGAGCAGGAAGACTTTGCCAAACAGCACATTTAGGCGAGAGTCCCTGTGTTAGCTACGAAGCCCAGCACTGCACATGCCAAGAGTGAAATGACCGGACCATGGAAAGATGCTTTTTACCAGGCTGAACTATCTGGGCATCTTGGGCAGTGCCATCCACTCTGATGGGCAGCCGGAGAGAGGTTTGGGAGAGAGAGGTCTTTCCAAACCCTTAGGACCTGATTCCTTCTTAGCTGCCCTGCATGCAAAGCAGCTTCTCCCAATGCAGTGCCTTCCAAATATGTTGGACTACAGGTTCCATCAGCCCCAGCCTGCATGCCAGGGATGATGGGAGCTGGAGGGCACGGGGTGTCATGTGTGTTGATCTTCAGGTGTGCTCGTGGGAGGCTCCCCGTGCTGGTTCTGCTGATGATTCTGATTCCGAGGCCGAGGCCGATTTTGAAGTGGCTCAGAGTCCACCTGTGGTTGCAGGTCCTGAGACCCCATGAGGGTGGCCCTGGGGGAGATCAGCCCCAGGGCACATGGGGAGACATCGAAACAGAGCGAGTCAGAAGGGGCCTCCCGGGCCATCTAGTCTGACCCCCGGCTCCAGCCGGCTCCGCTCACGACGTGCCCACCATGTGCACTCAACCTGGCTATGGGAGCATTGAGGAATCACAGCATGAGGGAGGAGATCAGAATGGGAAGCCTTGGAGAATGAGAATGGAGAACTCCCACCCACTGAAG